GGGCGACAATGAACGCGAAGACAGCGGCAACCCCTCCGACTACGCCCCCGATGATCGCGCCAAGCGGAATCCGACCGCCACCGCCAAGCGGTGGTGGCGATGGCGGTGGCGGCGGTGGTGACGGTGGCGGTGGCGGTGGCGGCGGTGGCGGCGGTGGCGGTGGCGACAGAGACGGCGGCGGCGGCGGCGGTGGCGGCCGCGGTGACGCAGGTGGTGGCAACGGCAAATAAAAGCGATGTTCTGCGTCCTCGGGAGTCATGGCCTGCGTCTCTATCCCAATCTGGCTCCATGCCGTCTTGAGCGGTAGCATATTCTCCTCGGTCCCGACACCGACAATGTTTCCACGAAACAACTCTGGTCCCATCTGTGCCACGAGTTGGTTGTCCACGAGGCCAAAAGCCACCATATGCCCCTCGCCATCTGCTCGGCGAATGCCAACCCCCTCCCCCTCCTCGAGTGCATCACGGAATCGGCGGTCGAAAGCCATCACCTCTAGCAAGCCCTGGAACACCGCCACAGGGAGCAGCTCGACCGGTGGCAGCGTAGACGCCGACACGACAACCAACACGAACGCTGGCGGTTGTGGCGGCAGCGGCGGGGATGGTGGAGGTGGAGGCGGCGCGGCCAGGTCGCCATAAAGGTGCCACGTAATAGCGAACGTGCAGTCGCAACCACCAAAATTGAACCACTCACCTCCGCAGTTTTCATTGTCGTCGTGACAGTAGACCGTGAACTCCACAGCATCAGTACATAGGCCGTCCAAACAGCCTTCCCATTCTGCGAAGTAGACAGGGTTTCCGTTGAGCGCGGTGAAGTCGGACGTTTCCCCATCGATCTCGAAATACTTGTAGCGGCCGTGATTGGCGAGCTGTGCCGACAACTGAACCTCGCCGCTCTCGAGCGTTTCGAACCTGCTCACGTCCCAGCGGAGGTTGACATAGCCAGCTATGTTGCACTGCTCGAAGCTCCTTAGCGTCATGCGTTCGCCCTGATCAATCCTGCTCCACGGCCTGGAGTAGGAGCAGATCACGTCAGCGACCGCAGGCATCCAGTGAAGCGAAAGCAGCAGAGTCGCCACTCTCATTCTGCAGCAACCTGAGGTGCGCGCCTGCGTTCACCTGCGGGAGGCGAATGCGAACGACGGGCGCAAAATCTCGCCGGGGGCTTTTCCGAAACATATGACTTCCTGCGACGAGGGTTGCGACCGTGGGTTCGTGCGTCCGGCCGCCGCATGAAGATCCTGATCGGTCTCTTGCACGTAGTGCTTGTCGCTGGCTCACAGCAGGGGCCACTAGCCCAGCACGCGCGCCCGTACCTGCACGACTTCGTCGATCCGGGCGGGGTCGCAGCTAAGAAAGATGTGACTTTGGATGCCTCCACCTCTAAAGATTTGTTTGCTTGGTGCTCCGATCTTACCGATCATCGATCGGCGCCGGCCAACAAGGGGCTGATCGTCAAGGCAGGGGCAGCTGGTGGCGGGGCGGCGGGGTTTCTGCTGCTCGTGGGCGTCGGCTATCTCATTGCACGCCGCAAGCGGAAGGTCGCAGCTGCCAATGGAGGCGACAGTAGAAGCGTCAAGACGTCGCAAACAAGCACTCCCCCATCGAGCCGTCCCAGTGGCGATCCAGCACATGTGGGCGGGATGCAGACTACTGACCCGTCTGCTGCAGCGCTACCAACTCACGACCGTGTAACTGAGAGGGTTCAACGTGCACATGAGTTGGCAGCGTGAGCCCGAGGGGGGCGTTTGGGACTGCGTCTGCTGCTGGTGGCGCACGGCTCGGGTGTGACAGAGCTGCGCTAGGGACTGTCAAGGCTTTGTCAGGACTCTCTGTCGACGACGACGATTTCCAATACCAAATCTCCAGCACCCACACACGTTACTTGTAACTTGTTTTTTTGACTCAACACAAAGAATTTTACAACAAAAGCTCCCTCGCAAACAAAGAACCCTGCACTGTGCACAAAGACCGCCGCACGCGGGGGACCTGTTCTCCCTTTTACCCATCTCCTAGTGAGCCGTCCTTTATATTTTTTATGTTTTTGATTAATCTGGCAGCTGCGCCCCCCTACGATTACGCACTCACCTGGACTTGGGGTCTGTCCGACTGCTCAGCAAGGCCCGATACTCCTCCTTGAGCGTCTCCGCCCTCGAGCTGTTGCCCGCTACCGCCGTCGCACGGATGAGCTCGCGAAGGAGCCGCTCGGCGGCGTCGGCCAGGTCCCTTCGGAGGGAAGCGACGAGGGAATCGTCGGCGTCGCCACCGCCGCTCGCAACCGGTCGGCCTTGCAGGAGGCTCAGCCCGGCGCGAGCGTGCGTCAGCCCGGACTCGAGCCGTGCGCGGTGGCCGCCCCCCGCCGTGCCCGCGGCCGCAGTCGCGCCTGCCCCCGCGCCCGACGAGGAGAGGTAGAAGGTGGCGAGGTCGAGGCGGCACGCAGCCGCGCACTCCTCCATCGCTGCCGACGCGGACCCCTCTGCGGGTGGCGAGAGCGCGCGATCATAGTGCCTGAGGGGGCGAGCGTGGGGCGCGATCTCGATCCATCTCGCTCCATCCGTCTCGGCCACTCTCGGCCACTCTCGGCCAATCTCAGCCACTCTCGGCCACTCTCAGCCACTCTCGGCCATTCTCCCCCTTCTCGGCTACTCTTGCCTGAGGGCGAGCGTGAGGCGCGACGATGCCGTCGTCCGCCCGCGGCCTCCGACGACGCCGCGCTCGCGCCTCGCTCCGACCAGGTAGAGGAAGCCCTGACACCGCGCCATCTCCTGCGCGCGCGCGGC